CCCCCCCCCCAGTATAGAATTAGCTTGCCTGTTTTCAGGGAACCATTTATATGTATGAAGTTTTAAAATACTTACTAGGAAGCATACCACATCACCTGTACTGAATCTAACAATAACGAAACAGACAAATTCAGAATTGAGACATTCTATAAGACAGTGGGTCTAGATTGTTAAATAAGTGTCAATGTCATAAAAAGCCAAACAACTAACCAAAATGACAAAAGGAGAATGTTCTATATCTTTTAAGAAGATATAACCAGGGGCACCTGGGTGGCTCAGTCAGTTAAGCATCCCACTCTTGATCTCAGTTCAGGTCATGATCTCACAGTTCATAGGATTGAGCCCTACATCGAGCTGTGCACTGACAGTGTGGACCCTGCTTGGGATTCTCTCTCTCCATCTGTCTCTACCTCTTGCCTGCTCATGCTCTCTCTCTCTTTCAAAATAAATAAATAAACTTTAAAAGTAAATAAATAAATAAACAAACAAACATGACCAAATGCAATGCATTAACATTCATTAGATCCTTGACCAGGAAACAAAAAGTCATGAAAGATATTTTGGGGGACAAAGGTATTAATACTAATGAGATATTAGTATTACATTTCTATTATATTTCTTGGGTATAACAATACTGTGGTCATGTGGGAGAATATCCTTGTTTGTTAGGAGACATATACAGAATTATTTCTGGGTGAAATGTCAAGATGTCAGGAATATTTTCAAATGACTCAGCCCAAAGTGTATATAGTAAGTGAGAAAAAGCAAAAGTGGGAAAATATTAACTATAAATCTGGGTGAAGAGTAGGTGGGTATTGCATGGTATTATCCTTTCAGCTTTTCAATAGGTTAAAGACTTTTTCAATATGAAAAGTTGGGGAAAAAGAAAACGAAGGGTTAAAGAGCCGATTGAATATCCTAATTATATTCTTAGGCTATGAAGTAAATTAATAGTTAAGCAGTGAAAGCAAAACATTTATTTGCATGTAGTTTTATATTTAGGAGTGAAACCAGCTAAAGTGAAGTGTATACTCAACTGTAAGAATTACTGAATCAAATTTGCTCCTCAGAGGCACTTCTCATGCTTTCTAGTTTATACTTTCAAAGAAAATAAAATCTGGAGGAGACAGACTAGGTGTGTATCAGGGAATGTAAGTTTTCATTGTGATTAAATTTAGAAATACTTAACAAATCCCAACTCTTCATTATCACAAGTCTGTCTAAATTATCTGCTCCTCTAGGTATCTATAAAAGTGATTATTGATTTGCCCCCTTTCTCTAGGTAAACACACACACACACACACACACACACACACACACACACACACACACACACACTGTATATTTGCCTGGTTATGGCTAAATTGACCTGGTTGACAGAGGGGGAGATATAAATATATTGGTGTAAAAGGACAAATAAGAGATAAGACTATGTATTTATTGCCCATTTATGTAATTACATGTGTCACTAAGGACAAAGGTCCTTAAAGACAAAAGGCAGAGTAGAAACAGTTCCCTACAGTAAGATAGAGTTGTTACCACTTCCCTATTCATAAGGTTTTTTTTTTTTTCCTGCATGGTCCCATAGCCTGGTCTTACAATCATTTGGAGAATTTAACCATCTTTCTGGACACAATTTGTTGGCAGAAGATATGCCTCACTCCAATAAAAAGAAAATGAAGACTTTTCAAGAGCATTCATAGGCGTCAAGTCGAGAGGACGAGCACTTAGTTCCTGAGGTCTGAGAACCCTTGTTCTACGAGGAAGCGTTACTAGGACCGCGGCACCATGGATGTGGTAGGGGAAAATGAGGCCCTGCAGCAGTTCTTTGAAGGTAAGTGCCCACTTTCCCAACATGCAGTCCCTGCTTCTGAGAACTGGCTCTGCTCGCAGTCACTGTTTTGCCTTTTTGGGATTCACTTAAACTTGGACTTGGAAGAAATGCCATCGTACTAACTGTCCTGAAATCTGAAGTGGAGGTTTATTTGCTCTGTTCATAGGAAAAACCAATGGTATAGGTAGTGATTTAAAAGAATACAGGATTTCCATCTTCTAGCTTGGTTGTTAAAAGAGTCACAGGGTCAGCGTATCTATGTGGCTAGGGTTTGTCTCTGTCCTGTGCTAGATTATATTTCTTCTAATCCCCTACATTTCAAAAATTACAGATTTGTCTTGTCTCTAAAGTTTTTGAGTATAGCACCAGAAAGGTGTAAGATTTCATTTAAAATAGTTTTTCTCTTAGTAAAGTTAAATATAAAACAGTAAAAGAACCCCTCCTTCCCCTTCTCACCTTTGTTTTTCACAACACTTTAAAAATGTGCAACCGAATAATGATTGGTTTTTGAAAGGAGAGCCATACTACAGAAATGAGTACTTCTTTCTTAAGGGAGGGGCATATTATAGGACGTGGTTACAGAGATTTTCTTTCTTTTACAAATCTAAACTGGCAGTACGGCTTCTATTATTTAATTGGGTTGATATTCTAATGGCGGGTCTGTTGAAAATGTCAGCAAGGACTCGCCATCAGAGACTTCAGTCTTTGGTTCTTTATCAGCAATGCTCAGACTTCCATGTGAAGGGAAATGTGACCATAGCTTTTACACATTTCAAAGGTATTTCTCAGGAGGAAGTATGAGAAGAATTGAGGGTAGACCTGTTTATTCACAGAATCCAGAGGGCAGTTACCATATAGAGGAGTGCTTTTGGCATTTCTGGTGATCAGTAAAGTACCTGACAAATTCTAGATGCAAAAAGGTTGAATGGAATTGACCCAACACCAAACAGTACGAAATAACGGAGTGGTCGTACTAAAGAACTAGTGAGATTCTAGGTCACCATCAGAAAGAATCACATACAATATGGTAGTTTCTGTGGCTTGGATTTTGCCAGAAGTGACAAGAAGAAAGCTAAGACCAAGAGAATTATCACATTATCTCAGTCCTGATCTATCCCATTGAATTTTCTATCTCTGACAGTAGCCAAATCGGTGTGTCTACCTGGGTCAGGCTGTGTACACAGTAGGCACGCTAACGTTGCATTGCTCGATTGTTATTGCCTGATTTTATATTCTGTGTAACTTTCATCCATACATATGCTTTATTTAAAAAATTTTTTTTCTTAATGTTTTTATTTATTTTTGAGACAGAGAGAGACAGAGCATGAGCAGGGGAGGGGCAGAGAGAGAGGGAGACACAGAATCAGAAGCAGGCTCCAGGCTCTGAGCCATCAGCACAGAGCCTGATGCAGGGCTCGAACTCACAGGCTGTGAGATCATGACCTGAGCTGAAGTCAGACGCTCCACTGACTGAGCCACCCAGGTGCCCCATATGCTTTATTTTAGAGAAACCACCCATTCATTTTATAGAAGCATAAAGTCTTGGTTTTCTTCTGTAACTGGAGAAGACCTGAAAAGTGAATGTGGTCTACCTTCTGTTCTTTGGAAATTCTGCTGTACTTAGAGGATTCCTATACTATCTTTGTCTTATTTTCAGAAGTCTCCAGGGATATAGTTTCCACCAGTCTTCTCTGTCACTTGCTACAATATCTGATTATTATTTTAATAGTATTTTTCTTAGCTTAAACCAAACTCTGGTCTTCCATTTGAAACCTTTTTTTTTTTTCATGAGGGAGGGGTCATTTCTCTTCATTTTTAGAAATAAAAAATGGAGACACCAGCTTAAATGATTCTCTTCCCCCTGAAAACCACACAGCTCATTGTCAAATGTTTATACCTCCACTATTCAGCAAATATTGAGTACCTGCTGTGTGCCTGGTCCAACATCACCTCCCTTAAGTGGTAGCTTGTAAGGCTTTGAAGTCTTTCCCTTAGATTTTAACGATTTCCTTTCTCAAGTATTCCTTAGACTGAGGACAGCAGTGATATTCTAGTGAGGAGGACCAGTTGTTGCTCATCGTTCTCCTGTTGATGTGTCAGTTCTAATTAAATGCGATCTTGTATAAAAAAAAAAATCCAGGGGCGCCTGGGTGGCTCAGTCGGTTGAGCGTCTGACTTCAGGTCAGGTCACGATCACGGTTTGTGAGTTCGAGCCCCACGTCGGGCTCTGGGTGACCGCTCAGAGCCTGGAGCCTGCTTCTGATTCTATGTCTCCCTCTCTTTCTGTCCCTCTCCCCCTCACGCTCTCTTTCTCTCAAAACTAAATAAACATTAAACAAAATTAAAAAAAAAAATCAAGGTCTGAAAAATCAAGAAAAGTTTTGGCAATTTGTTACCCAGCTGAAAGCTATTTTTTCTGTTTCCTCAGACCCTTTGTTCTAAGAAACTCAGCCCTAGCTGCATTTTTCCTTATGAACGCATTTGTATGAAAAAGTATCTGGATTGACAATAAATGGCCTTGAGGGTCAAAGCTCAGGATGATCTTAGTTTTTATTTTAAATTTCAAATATGTCTAAATCTTTACGATGTGTCTCAGGAAAATGATAAGAACAAAGGGTGGTTTCGGGTAGCTGGAATTCTAATTCTAATTCTAATTCCCGGTCTGCCCCTGATGCCACAGGTAGGCCCATTAACTAACTAAAGCAGAGGCAGATCAGGTGTGCTAGGGATCCCAAGATCCTCTGGAGACTGATACCATGTGAAATGTTTGGCTTTTTCAACAAAGCTGGTACCACTACAAGAGAAAGGGTGTCAGAAGAGAAGCATATTAGTTTCTTTTTAATAACTAAAACTTGGTTACAATCTAAATTTCTGATGGTGGTGGATTAATTAAATGAATTATGGTTTTTCCATATAATGGAATATTTTATAGCTATTGAAAATGATGATAAGGAAAAATGTTTATTACATAAAGGGGAAAAGTGGTTTGTATATTGGTAGATACAATTGAATATTTGTAGCTTTATATATATGTAGCTTCCCAGAACAAAATTTATTATTAAAACTGATCTGAAAATATTTAATATATATACATACATGCTCACACATATACATAGAAACAACTGGATGAATACACTTCAAGCATTAATACTTGTTATCTCTTAGTGGTAAAAATATGCCGATTTTCATTTTCTTCTTTATACTTTATTATCTAAGTGCTTCATAATTGAAATGTATTATGTTATAATCCGATTATCTTAAATAGAGGAGAATGAGTTTTAATTCAGCAAAACCCTTCTGTTTAAGATCCACGTCTAAAGAAAAATTACAAAAGACATTGACACAGATGAAAAAGATTATGGACATCTTCCGTAGAAAAGATCACATCCTTCTGGGCTATCAGATTCTGTGGGATTTACACCTTTTATTGTCTTCGAGATATATTAAAACTCTATACATTGTAGATAACTGATATCAATGCAAGTGACTTTTGTCTATAGATATGCAAATGAATTTACTTTTAGTGGGATCAACAGTTCTAGTAAAAGACCGTTTTGCTTTTATTTGGAAATTCACTGCATGGTGTAGCTAGATAGATACAGATGGGGTAGATATAGATCTAGATCTGCCGTTTGAATTCTCCTTGAGCCAGTTGTGACATCTTCCTGCCTCCTTCATTAATTAGGTAGTTGAATAAAATCTTTGATATGCAACCATCTTATATTTGTATGCAAGTCATGGTTTTGGGGCACCTGGGTGGCTCAGTCGGTTGAGCGTCTGAATTCGGCTCAGCTCATGATCTTACGGCTCTTGAGTTCGAGCCCCGCATCAGGCTCTGTGCTGACGGTTTGGACCTTGGAGTCTGCTTCAGATTCTGTGTCTCCTTCTGTCTGCCCCTCCCCGCTCGCGCTGTTTTTCTCTCTCTCAAAAATAAATAAACATTAAAAAAATTGTTTTTTAAAAGAACGTCATGATTTTATCTTTAAAAAGAGATGGTTAACTATTTTAAGTTGGTTAACTTGGAAACTATCAATTCCACCTTTAGTTTGACCCTGATTACTAACAGCATGTATTAAGCATTTACCATATGCCCACCCCTATGCTGTTGCCTTTACGTTCATTAATTCATTTAATTCTTACAACTCTCTGAGTAAAAAGGAATAAGAAAATGGAATACAGTAAATCTCAGTTCTTCAGTTTACTTCCTTTGTTTTTGAAAGCTGTGACTTCACATTCTTAATTTGTTTTCCTCATCGGTATTTTGGGGGACTGCCATGATATCAGAGGTCTCACTTTTTATTCCCAGGCTTTTTAGAACATTTTATAAAAACTGATTTGAGAAGACTATTTAGTTTTTTCATTGTATCTAATTTTTAAAGAGGAGGTTTTCTGAATTGAGAAAATATTTAGCTCATGCTCTTGGTAATGCCCTGAAGTAGGTTCTCAAATGTCTGTTGGCTTATCCTGAAAGGAGAAGAGGAGATTCGTTCCTGCCCTGATTGAATGGAGTGGGGAAAACCACCTACTAGGAGCAGATAACAAGGAGACACAAGAAAGACACTGAAGGACTGAAACTCCAGCACACTCACTGAAGTTTGGGGGGACAGGGACCCCCAAACTCTAATTGGTTGATGGCTCTGAATTCCTGTGAGAGGAATCAGAAGCTCTGAACAGCTGAAAGCAGGACAGAAGGCCGACGCTGCAGTGCCAGGACTGGTCCTGGGCAAGGCAGTCTTGTGGGTAGAGGGTATCTTTTTTTTTTTTTAATATTTATCTATTTACTTATTTTTGAGAGAGAGAGAGACAGAGAGACAGAGAGAGAGAGAGTATGAGTGGGGGACAGGCAGAGAGAGAGAGAGGGAAACACAGAATCCGAAGCAGGCTCCAGATTCTGAGCTGTCAGCATAGAGCCTGAGGTAGAGCTTGAAGCCACAAACCACGAGATGATTACCCGAGCTGAAGTCAGACTTAACCGACTAAGCCACCCAGATGCCCTGGGT